GAAACATTTAACTTCAGGATTTATGGTGGAACACGTGTGTGTATATATATACACACTCTGTTATTATACACTTTAAATATATACATACACACTCGCACTCTGCTGCAGCACTGCAGCTTCCAAGCATTTATAGCAAAATGCAAACACAGCTTTAACCCCAGAAAAACAGCAGCACATTCGAATATCAGCCTGCTCATCAGCATCTACAACACAGCCTCCAGCAGGGAGAGCATCCAAGCCTGTCCCTGGAACGACACTCGGCATCCTGGAATCTCAAAACCGCAGCCCTGCTCCAAACCCAAACAACATCCCCACTCCCTTCCCAGCAGATTAGCAGGAGTTAGCATGAGATTACGATGGCAGCATAAACAAGGACCCGGATTAATATTCCTTCGGATGTTCCTTAGATGGGGTCCTTAACACCGAGTCACTGAGTGCCACCGATGCCACACAGCTGGCAGCTCCGCTGCCTTTCTCCATACGCCCCCCATGAAGAGACTTTCAGCAGAAGGAGCCTGCTTTTCTTCTAGCAGAATACTCACTTATGTTGTTATAGTGCTTTCAGCTGCTGACATTGAGACCCAGTCATAAATTCTTCACAAGCAGGAGTCAAGCTGCAAACCCTTTGCACCAGGAAAATGCACTTAAACCAGCAGCACCACTGGGGCAAAGACCAACACAAACAGCAATAAAGAATACACAATCACCCAATCAAACTTACGAAAAGCAAGACACATTGCAACAAATGCGGGAACGCCAACCTCTAATTTCCCTTTAGGAGCTAGTGGGTGTACCAGAAGTAGGACGCTGTTGCAAAGCAGGAACTCTCAGTTCCCCGCTCAGTTTCCACACGCCCTGCGTTGCTCGTAGCCATTATTTCTGCCACTAACAATTCACATTGTCCCATGGCAGTTTGAGCATGCAAAGTCAAGATAACGCCTCGCTCGCCCTTTCTGCTCTTGTGATGCCAAGCTGGAAAGATAGTATAAAAAATGGGCATAGGAAGGGGGGAAAAATAAATAAAAAAAGCACACACCACAGGGCTCTAACTTTGCACTTTTCCAATGCAACATGCAGGGAAGAACATGTAAATGGGTCACATTAATGGCAAGATCCTGTTTGCTAAGAACTGCACATCACCTTCTATCTAATCCAGAAAGGATGCAAGTTTCTTATCCGTTGTCTCCAACCTGCGTTTCAAAGACCTAGGGCACTCAGCTTTGGAGAGCCCTTATTTAATGCCTAACATATTGGCAAAGAAACAGTGCCATACATATAAGTTCACTACAGCATCATCTGCTTTCCTATTTTCCTTCTAGTATCAAAATACTTCTCATATGTTTGCCTTCACAGAGGATTAAAAAAAGAGAGAGATGGAAGACAAAAGGAATTTCTTTTAACCTTCATTTCCCCCCGCCTCAAAAAAGAGGCCCTAATTCTGCAGGAATGTCCCTAGAAGCGTGTAATTAATTATTTTCTTCTCAAAGCAAGACAGTCTCCCCCATCATCTGGAGCCAGGCAACAGAAGCAGTTTTATCAAACCAAACTCAGCCACGAGCCACGCTAATGGGAACCAGGCCCTGGGCAGTGCTACCTGCTGCATTCTGGAGCAGAACACCCTCTGCTCCTGTGCCAGCACCCACCAGCATCACCTTGGACCACAGCCTCCATCGCTGTGGCACCCAATGCTGGAGAACTGAGAGCTAGAGAAAGGCCGAAGGCTCCTTATTTTCTTCTCAAAGCAAGACAGTCTCCCCCATCATCTGGAGCCAGGCAACAGAAGCAGTTTTATCAAACCAAACTCAGCCACGAGCCACGCTAATGGGAACCAGGCCCTGGGCAGTGCTACCTGCTGCATTCTGGAGCAGAACACCCTCTGCTCCTGTGCCAGCACCCACCAGCATCACCTTGGACCACAGCCTCCATCGCTGTGGCACCCAATGCTGGAGAACTGAGAGCTAGAGAAAGGCCGAAGGCTCCGCACCTAGATTTTGGGAGAGAAGAAAAAGAACTCCTTCCTCGCTCCCTTCTAAAGCCAGTTTTACGGTGTCTGCCCAGGTTGTTACAAAAGTGAAAAATCTCCTATTTGGAAGCCTTTTGCCCTTTAGTCTGGAAGAACCAGAACTGGCCACAGCAGGGTCCACAAAACTTGTGGAGAAAAAGGCCTTTCAGAGAGACATTTGGTCAACAAGGCCAAGTGAACCACTCCCAGCCGACGAAGCCCAAGTCAGAAGTAGGCATGATACAGGCCAAGCCTGTCTGCTCTGCCCTCACAATCATTTATTTAAACCTGATCTCCAGCCCTAAACAGCCTTAGAGGACTCCAGCAAAGTTCAAGGCCCTTATTCCCAGGCAGGGGGGACACACTTGCCCACCCCAGATGGGTTGCAGGCCATCACCTTCCCCCTGAGCAGAAGACAGGGGCTGGTGAGTCGCCAGCATTCGTCACCGCTCCGTAAAACAAGTCGTTGCCTCACAAAAGCATAGCCAAAGACAAGAGAAAGCAAAATAAAATGAGAAAAATAAATCAACAACTGGGATTTACAAGACAGAGAACAGATGCCCAAGGCAAGGAGCAGCTCATCTCTCCCCCTACCCTACGCCAGGGCCAACCACTCTGACTCGCCCATAGAGTCTTGGCTTTGAGGCTTGGCTTTTCTAACACGCAGTGGGGAGATGAGATCACCACACCAGACAGTGGCCAACCTCTTCCTTAATTTGTTTTTTTCCCTTTAAAAGAAGGAGGAAGAAGTATGAGCCTCAAATGCAGACAGATGAGAGCGAGAGGAGGGCTCTGGGGAAGGACAAGGCCCCCAACTCCTGTGACTCGGCCTGCAGGACTTGACGTGCTGCTGCCAGCTGAAGTAACTCCCCATCCAAGAGTCCCTTCTGACCCCAAACTCTGCCAGCCTCCCTGCTCTACCCTCAGGGCCCTCCTGAAACCCACAGGAGACCTTGCCTTTGCCCCAAGATGTTAGCCTAGTGGAAGCAGCATAAAAACCCCCACTTAAAAAGCAGAAAGCTAAAGAGCTTTTGCCAATGTTTTCTTAATATCAGCTTCAGCTGAAGCAAAAATTTAAGGAAGAAAAAGGGACTCAATTTCTTCCTGTCCCAGAGCCTCAGCAACCCCACATCCATTCGCCTCTCCATCCCTGTCCAGCCAACTCGTCCCGCTAATAGAAGACAGACCACAGGCTCTGTCCAAGCAGGGTCTGTGGTCACCAGCCTACAGTTTTAAACTCCTCTAGGCCCTGCAAGACGCACAGCTAAAATTTTAATCAAGTCTCTCTGAGAAGTACGTGGCTGGCAGCCAGACACTTGGCTAGACACCGTCCTGACACGGGTCAGCTTAGAACTTTCTGCTGAATTAGCAATAAATGTATTTTTTGAGGCATTTTACAGCTGAAGGGCTTCCTACAGCTGCCAGTGCCCCAGAAGCCATCCAAGCCATGAACACGTTGCGCACAGCTTGCTGAGAAGAAAGGCTATTTTTAATCCAAGCCTACATAGGGTGGAGTTCAGTGTCCAACCAGGCTAAAAAGCCACTATAATCCACAAGACCAACGTCTGGCAACCTTTGCTTACAGGCTGATGTCTGTTCTATTTAGGGGTTGGGAGGAGTTTAGAGGGGGGAAAAATACAAATTAAAAAACAAAGGAGGCTATGAAAAGTGAATAGAGGGAAGGGCCACACTTATCCTGTGGGTTTTTTTCTAAAGAAAAGGACTCTAAAAGAATGAAGATCAGAATACTTTATTTTCTGCTTCCTAGAGTGGTTTCTAAGGTATCATTTACCACCTGGGCTGGGAAGGGAAGCACAAGCCCAGTATATCCATGCAACAGAGAAGAGGAGGAGGGCAGCGACACCCGAGGACAAAGCAGAGAAATGGAAACCAACCACAGATGTGCAACCAGGATCCCCAACGGGAAGGTTTCCTATCTGTCTGACACCAATACAGCTCCTGCTGGGACACCTTTCTCTTTCACACGGCTGCAAAAATGGCAAAGATGAGCTGGGTAGTATTCAGAGCAAAGCTAGAGCGACCCAAGGACTGGACAATATGGAAAATTCATCATCGTGGTTTATGGCAAACAAGCTATCCTTAAGGAGCAGGCATGTGTGGTGTGCTCTCAGTATTTAAATGACCTCGAGATCACACAGACTTCCTACATAAACAAACCTGCAGGTTTTATTCGTTACAGACTCAGCCCAACAACTCATTAGGTTAAAGACATTCAATTCAACCCAACCCAACGCAGCCTTATTTCAGCCCGTTATCCTCACTTTCCTAACAGGACACAGAGGGGTTGTCTAAAGGACGCAGTTTGTCTCAGCATCTTCAGATGCTCCTTTAGCATCCACCCATAAACTGGAAAGCATGTGCATACAAGAGGAATCAGCATTCAAGAGGAATCAGCATCTCTAGAGCCCTTTCTCTGCCTGAACCCAGCCAGATTTTTAACCCCACTACGGAAGGCTGCAATCATTTATACCACTGGCAGTGGTATAAAGCAAAGAGAGCAGAATGGAAAAGAGTATACTGAGCTAAGTGCCCTTCTTCCCCACACTCTGTTTAATTGACTTGCTTAGCCACACTTGTGATTTAGGTCCCCTAGAAAATTGAATATTTAGTGGGAAAGAGATTACTTATGAGCAGTCAGATTCCCACGAACAGGAACAAAGCTGAGGACCAGCACTGATGTACCACAAGTACAACTATCATTTCAGTCAAGGGTCACCTGGGCAGGGAAAGAAGTCTATAACTAAGCAGCACAACAAACTTCAACCCAGATTTCAGGAGCATAACAGCAAAACTGCGTGCTGAACAGTGCTATTACACTAGGTCATACATTCACATCTTGCATCTCTCCTTCCCCTCGACTCCATCCATGAGTGATAGCTTCCCACCTCCTATACACTCACTTCCCAACCCAAGCAAGTGAATGAGAACAGCAAACTGTTTTCAGCTTTAAAAAGAATAAACCAAAAAAAAGGCTTACTTCAATACATCAGAAATTAGGCCTCCTGCAGAGACAATACACCTTATCTTCTCTTGAAGATCACAGTGAGAGTCTGTCTTCAGGACGATGCAGCAGGGACTCTCAGGAGCATCTGTGAGCTGTCAGTCTCTTTGCAGGAACAAAAACCTACTGAAGAGGCAGGAGAAACAGCTGTGAGCATTTCAGAGGAGGAAATGAGACAAGGAGACTGCTTAGAAGCATATGGTCCATATGGATTGACGTGAGCAGTCGTCAGCAGACCTAACCAAAACTTCCCATTTCAGACAGTTGTCCTGCTTCCCACATCCTCCAACGTGTGCCAAACTGATAATCACATCTTCCCTATCAATTCAAAACCCACTTGGACGCAGTCCTGTGCCACGTGCTCTAGGTGACCCTGCATGTGCTGGGAGGTTGGACTAGATGACCTCTAGAGGTCCCTTCCATCCTTGAGCATTCTGTGATTCTATGAATTCCCAAATGCCTGTACCACACTGGGACAACAAGAACTTCACAGGAGGAGCGGACTTGCTCCGCAGGGAGCACCCAGAGCATCCCACAGCGCCCCAGATCACGGGCCCTTCTAGCCCAGAGGGACACGAGGAAGGAGACCCAGGGCAGCCCCCTCGCCAGGGACGCCCAAGGCAGCAGCCACCCTCGTGACTCACAGCTGCTGAAGGGCGGAGGTCTGATTACACTGAGATAGACTAACAGGAGTCAACCAGCAAAACAGGCAAAGTAGAAAGAGGAGCTCTGGATAAGCCCCTTCCCGCTGATAGCCACTCTCCTGGTGACATGGAGGCTTCATTTTTCATCATTATGTCAGCTACAAACCCAACGACAAAGCTATTTTGGGTACGCCAAGAGTTAAACAGCAAAACACAGGCCTGAAGCGCTAATTGCTAGGCAAGCACACGCAATATAACTCTGCTATGACACCCCAGCAGGCCAGACAGGATGGACTTGTCATTCATCTCATTTAAACTATGTTACCAAAATGCCACCTGATTGCAGAGTTCCAGGATAGTATCTGACTCCACAGAGACCAACCAAAGTCGCTGTGCATGGTACTGGGCACCAACCACCAGCATCCAAAGGGACCAAAGAGGTCCACGCCCCTCTAATGGGAATAGACCCATCAGAAGATGGAGGCAAAGCAGGTGGCCCTTCATTCATAATATCCACTGTTAATGGCAGTGATATTATCAGTGCCTGCTACAGGAAAGGGCTGAGACATCAACCCCACAACCAATAATTCCTCTGGATTGAGCAGCAGAGTTATAACAGAGGAAAAATCAGCATGTCCTTCCCTCCTGTCCTGCTCTCCCAGCCTTTGGGGTGGAGACTCCTGCCTCCCTGCTCCATTGGTTCATCGGGTTTTCTTGTTCAGCCACTGCGAGAGGGCAGTTTGCTCTTTACACAGCTGAAGGATCACACCGAGGACACTACACCTTGTTACAAGGAGACTTGCTCAACACCAGGAGAGCTCCTGACTGCACAACGTGCCACACCTGGGATCTCCAACCAGCAGAGGCTCAGGAGTCCCATCCTTCAGTTGGAGCCAAACCACCTCTTGGAGCGTCCCCCCAACAGGTGGACATCAATCCCACCTCCACAGGCATGGACCTCCTGACGAGCCTGTTGGTGTGACACGCTAGAGGAGGCTAAGAATAGAGCACCACATGCCACCAAGGCAGCTGAGGTGGCAGGTGGGGACCACCAAGAGGGGCTTTGATGGCAGCTGCGATCCCCTAACAAATGGGGCAATGTGGCAATACCACAAAGCCAGTTGCTGCTCAACCGGAGGAAAATTAAACCTACCCAAAATGAGCTTTCTGGGCAAGTTCCTATGGGATAACAAGAGCATGCACATTGGTGCAGAGGCGAGCTGATGTAAGCAGGACCATCTCTTTGGAATTATCCAAGTCTCCACCACAGGCAAAACCTTATGTAGAGGCAGGAAGAACATCCAGGACAAGAAACTCCAGTGAGCACTGACAGAACAAGCCTGACCATCACCTACAACTTCAGCATTATGCACAAACTCTGGCAGGATTCAACTCTCACCTTTCTGGAGCAGAAAATTTGTGTTTTGCTCTTACAGGCCAAGGAAAAAGAAACTAAGACAGCAGCTGTGCTAAATGCTGGTGTTTCTTTACAAGCACCATCTATTCACCATGCACACCCTATGCATGCCATGCAGCTGAGCCCTCCTGGTGCACACACACACCTGGCAGGAACAGAGCACACACAAGCATGGCACAAATGCATTCCTTGTCAAGGCCCATGAAAGGAGCCACCACTGAGTGAATTGCATGTAGGAATTCAAGTCTTCTGTGCACAGGCCACCTTTGTGCCATCAAAGGTCTCTCCCACCTTCAGCTTGGGGAAGCCCCTCAACTAGGCCCCAAGCTACATGACATGAGCACCATCCATGCATCCCCTTGCAGCAGGACATGGGATCCTCTGAAGGGCACCCGCATCTCCCCTTGGTTTAAGACACCCTCTGCTAACCCGCTGCCATCCAATACAGTCAACAACAGCCGCGTGTGCCGATGCATCCCGCAACCCGAGCCTGCGGAGCAGAGGCTGTAACAGAGGCACATTCATGGGGAACGGTCACATGTCGGACAGCGATGACCACAGCGCAATTAGTAACCGTCAGCTGAGCTGCTCCTGCTCAAGCCACCTCCAGGACGGACAGGCAGCATCGCCCGTCACCCAAGCACAACAGGCGGCTGTCGGAGCTGGGCACTCGGGTGTCGGGCAATATCAGGTACCTCGGGGCTGCGGGGTGCTGCAAAAGCAAGTAAAGCTCACGTTGGATGGAACGATGATCGTGGGGTGGAGAGTCCCTCAAGGCACCACTGAGGATGCTCACACACAGATTTCCCCCCTGAGCGAGTCACAACAAATGCAAACACAGTTGCTTCTGCAATAATCCTACTCCCAAAGTGTCAACAGCAACATATGTGCAAAGATGACAACAACAGATGCCGATCTGAGCACTTGGGGAGCCAGGGAAGGCAGAGAGAGCAAGGGGATACTGTGCCATTCATTAAAGTAGCTTAACAAAAACTGATTTAATACATCCTTGCATCACCCTCATTAAAAAAAAGTTGATCTTATTTATGCAGTCAGCTCAAAATAAACAGATATTCAGGATATTCTGCTCTGCATATGTATTAAGATTACTGAATGAACTTATTTCCAGTTCTGCATTTAACTCTACCTTGCACACAGATATAGTAGGAGCAGTTTCTGATTTATGATTGTTTTTTGCCATGTGGTTATCAGCTTTCTGTGCTCCACGAGCGCAGTATCCACAGAGCATGCCCCCTCACACACGACAGTGCTTAGCACACAAAGGTCAGAAATTTGTTCAGATATTACAGCCTCACTCTGAGGTCGTTTCTAATATTGGTTGGAATGGAGAAGTTAAAAATAGTTAAAAATT